AACTCATTAAGACCGTTTAGCTGTCTGTCCCACACTGCTGTATCGAATTTGCAATTATTGAAAATTATCATGTCAACTATAGTTTGATCTCTCTTACATTTGTTTTGTTCTGTATCTACTTTAAACTCATCCTTATCGAGATGTTTCTTTGTCGTGGTTGAATTTGGAACATAAATAGGTAACTGAGTTAATCGTTACACCTGTTTGTTTTATTGTATTTTCGGGTTGCTTTATTTCATTTTCTAGCTCCATCAGTGCCGTAACACTTTGAGTTAAATATTTAGGATCCTTCCTTACTTCGTTAGTCATTAGTTATGCAATGATGTTATTTTGCTTTCGGTTATACTTTAATTAAATTTATCAACATCGTTTTCTACTTCAAATTTTACAACTCATAAGGGTTGTTTATATATTCCCGAAATAAATACTTCATTTGACGAAGGGTCAAAAATATCGATTTTTTAATTATCCCAGTATATACTTTCAATATAATAATAAATTATCTGATAATAATTTAGCACAAACTGTATCCCCTTTCCATTGTTTGTTTTAATTTTGACATTTCCTGTTCCCTTCGTCCTTAAATCCGCTAGAGGGTCGTTATTTGCACATCTTATCCACATGTTATCATTTTCGTTAAAAGTCCTAAAGATTAACCTAGAATTTGTTAAATGTTCGGTTGCACCAGAATCTGTAAAGAAGTTTGCCAATATTTTTTCGTTATTAATATCAAAATCATTAATATTATCAACCTCCATTTCAGGTAGTACATTTTCTAAATCTACTGACTTAACATAAAACGAATTGTTACAATCTCACCTCTATCTCTTTCATTAATATTGTGATATTTTCGTATTTTTCCCTGAATTGTTTTGCTTCTTGTCAGGAGGATGTAATAGTGGAACACGCCTGACGCCACCTCGCAAACACATCGGCGGTTGGCTGTCAACTATCTGTGGTTTGAAGATATGCAATCAAACACGTTCATGCACAGTGGCCATTCAATGCCCATGCATATTTATCATCTGTATGTCATTCAATATATTTGTTCAATATCATTTATCCATTTTCTTCATTGAATTATTAAAATTTATTAAAACAGCATTAAACTGTTTTAGTAAATTTTTGTTTTAGTTTGGTATGATAATTCTGATCTAAATAGAAAATACCACAAATGGGGCGGAGAATGCCATCTGTAGTACGATGTTACATTTTAGGATTACGTATGCTCCAACAAGGTCCATTTAAATATATGGATGATAGGCATGTTACCATAATCGAATAAAATTATTCGAAGTGATCTGTATTCTGTCGAAACTGTCAGACGCGGATCGCGATTTCGATCTTTTTGGATCTCATCAGCGCGTCGCAGACAGCTCCGACAGAACACAGACCAACTTTTATCTGCTCTTCTCATGTTCGGTCCGATTCTGTACTTGGTTTTCAAGATGTTCCAAACCGCCAAATCTCCGTTTGAACTCGGTTGCGATACCAGGGCTCATTCTGCGATCCTTCGAAACGCAATGGGCCAGAGAATATTTCTTGGATATATCAAGAGGTTTCGTCGGATTTCTTGCGTCACTCCAAATGTCCCGTTAACATGGGGGCCTTTCTTCATGAAGTCTTCGAATGTGAGTTCGGAAGGAATAGTTCTTAAAATGGACTACCTTCGGCTTCCCATTTGGAGTTTTCTATATTCGGTAGATCACGTCGTTAATCCTCTTCACTATCTCATAGGGTTCTTCCCAATTCTGCTGGAACTTAGGTGATAGCCCACGGCGACGCCAATGATTATACAACCACACAAGATCTCCAGTTTGGTAACCATCTGCTGTAGCCTTGATGTCGTAGTTTTCTTTAATCTTGTCACTAGCAATGTGCGCATGCAGACGAACCGACTCGTGGATATCTTTAAGCTTTCTTCAGAAGTTGGTAACATAATCTTCTCAGCCAACTCATCTCCTGGTTTACAGCCGAATTTAAGGTCACAAGGTAGTTGTAACTCCCTTCCTAAAAGGTGTTTGGCCAGTCGTTTCGTGGACAGGTGAACGGTATGCCATTAAGAATAAAGGCAAATAGCGGTCTCAGTCCCTTTGGTGGTCAAACACTACCTTGGAGAGATATTTAATCAAGGTCCGGTTCATTCGTTGAACCATGCCGTCCGATTGTGGATGGAGTGGAGTGGTTCGAGTTTTCATTATTCCTAGTATCTCGCATCTTCCACGGAATATAGCCTATTCGAAATTCTTCCCTTGGTCTGAATGCAACTCCAAGGGCACCCCAAAACGACTGATCAACTCATTCACCAGTTCCTCAACTATGGTTTGCGATTCCTGGTTCGGAAGGGCATAGGCTTCAACCCACTTGGTAAAATATTCCATCACGACCACGATGCACTTGTTACCTTTCTCGGACTCTTGGAATGGACCCGCCACATCGATTGCGATTCGTTCGAAGGGGCCACCGACATTGTATTGACGCATTGGCGCCCTTGGCTTTTCTGTGGTCCATTACTCGCGGCACAGGTGGTACACTTCTTACACCAATTCTTGACATCTTCCTTACAGTTCACCCAATAAAATCGCTCTCGAACTTTCCCAAGCGTCTTATTCACTCCAAAATGGCCACCAGATGATCCATCATGAAGATACTGCAACAACTCTAACCTTGTTTCGAGGAATAACCAGTTGCTTCCTATCTTCTTCTCCATGTGGACTTTCCACAACACCCTTCAGGATGCCATCCTCCAAAACCATTGAGTCCCACTGAGCCCATAAAGATTGTAGTACTTGGGTACAGGACGAAACATGCTGCCACATTGGCCGTTTTCCGTTTGTTATATTTTCAGGTAACCACTCGTCATCGATTACCGTGATGCGTTGAATTGCCTCTTCATTCTTTTCCATTCGATCATACTTCTAGCAGTCTGTTTGACGTCGAGTACTTGAGAAAAGAGTACTTTTCCTACACTGCCTCCTCGTATGACCTAGTTTGCAGCAATTCCTACATCCTAACTTTCGGGTTGCTCTATTGAACTTGGAGAAGATTCGGCAGAGGGTTTCTTCTAAAGATTCTGACGAATCCGTTTCTTCACGCAGTAGTCGTACCCTTTCCTGTTTGCAATAGGCCCGTTTAACAGTTTCGTATTCCAATGCACGAGCCAATGCATCCGCTAGCGTCTTAGGTCTGTCAAGGCGTATTCGTTGTTGAGTGTCACTGCGCCGAAGTCCATCAGTAAATGCCTCCACTGTCAACCTTTCCATCAATTATTCTGGAGTATTAGGATAGGCCAGTCGAGACAGTCTTGCAATATCGGCGTCGAATTCTTGTATGGATTCCGTTGAATTCTGCTGACGGGTCTTCAGTTGGATGTGATACACCGCTGTTAAATGAGCCTCGCCGTAGCGCAACTCTCACCATTTTACCAACTGTACATAATCCGCCAATTCTTCCCGGGAAAGGGTGTTCAAAATGTCAGATGCATCTCCACGAAGCACAACGGTCAACGCAATGGCTTTTTCTTCAGGCGCCTAGTTATTCGCCTTAGCAGCCGCCTTGAATTGTTTGTGATATGTGGTTCGTCAAACGTTGGTGGTTTTACTCGTGTTCTGGACTCTATAGCACTTCCTTGGCTGATTTGGCTAGCTTCGTTGAGTGTATTAGATGCGCCAACATCCCCTTCGATTGGTTTTGTCTCTCAATTTTTCCAGCACTTTTATCTTCTCTTCTGTTTCTTGCATGTTCTTATTAAATTTTTCTTCCAATTTTTTACTGTTTTCTTCCAATTTACGTTTCAAGCTTTTACTATTTTCTGCCAATTTATTTTCCAAACTTTTACTGTTTTCTTCCAATTCACGTTTCAAACTGTTACTATTTTCTTCCAATTTATTTCCCGAACTTTTACTATTTTCTTCCAATTTATTTTCCTAACTTTTACTGTTTTCTTCCAATTTATTTTCCAAACTTACTATTTTCTTCCAATTTGTTATCCAAACTTTTCATCATTTGCGACAATTCTTCTTCGAAGAGAAACGTTTCAGGATCATGGTCATCCTATTTCAACGCCTCCGCGAGCCGTCACAGAAATTCCGCTTTATTACCGCTTGTCGCTTCATCCCGTTCCAATTCTCTTCTTAACTCGGCTACTTTTAATTCATACAACTTCATTGTCATTTTAATGTCTTTTACTTAACCCCACACCTGACACTAGTTGTAATGTTCGTGGGTTTAAGAAATTAGCTTTTAAGACTCACAACGATAATAACTATTTATTTACACCAATTATTAAAGAACTTAAAACTCTTATAAATTATTACTAAACTTAGGTAATTATTCTATTTATTTACACTACTGTCACTATTCACTGTGCTGTTTATTTCTTGATTCACTTCTACAACGGTCAATTTATTTCTACTCTCTCGGCGATCGTGTCTTCCTTTATGTCCTTCCTGGAACTTTTTCNAAATTATTACTAAACTTAGGTAATTATTCTATTTATTTACACTACTGTCACTATTCACTGTGCTGTTTATTTCTTGATTCACTTCTACAACGGTCAATTTATTTCTACTCTCTCGGCGATCGTGTCTTCCTTTATGTCCTTCCTGGAACTTTTTCGAGCCGTCCGGAAAAGTTTCTTTTTATTTGAACTGTTTAATTGCTTTCCCGAAACGCAGGTACTACACACACTTCTCCAGATACGGCGCACATGAAGAAAGGCGCCCGCGGCTAGTCGGCGAATCGATAAGCCGCTCACACACACGTATGCCCGATCGCACACAAACACGTTCGTGCTCGCTACATTAACAATTTTAAATCGTATCATGTCTTCAGAGCTGGTAGCCATCCTGTCTGTTGTTTCGTGGGTTTTGTTTAATAATTCGTACTTTTCAAGTTCTATTCTAACAACTTCACTTACAGCGCCATCGTTAGTGGGAAAATTATTTTCGGGTACAATCGGCGGTTTGATCTTGTGCGAAAACAGGTTTCTCGTTTACTACATGATCGTCCTCGTCGTAAATCCAGCAGTTTTTACAGATCTCCACCATTTTGTCAATTTTGTTTTTGATGTATTTTTTCATATCTTTGCAATTGGTTTCCAACTTGGATTTTATTTTCATTATGCTGTTTATCGCTTGACTGGCGAAATCATATTTTTTCTGAAGGCTTTGCTGAACTCGTTCAGCGTGTCATCTGCTTTCTTATCAGTTTGACCATCTGGTCTTTTGGGTCTTCCGCAAAAATTCGACACCGTATTTACAGGTTCGTTAATTACAATTTTTTTTTAAACTGGTCAAATTTTTAATGCCAGCCCTGACAATTTGTAAATAGGTATGTAGTTCCACCGTGTAGATGATATGAATAATATCGATTGCACAAAAGTTAACAATCAGTAGGTCGATATCCTTTGTTGACGTTTGGTGTTAGTTACTAAATAATTATTATTTGTTTTGAGTGTTTGTTTCCTGTTGGTAAAAGGAATGCTATAAAAATCGAAACACACTTTGAGCTCCTATTTGTAAAATCAAAATCATTGTTTATCAACGTATTTACATTGAAATTACTCAGTTACAAACTGCACGATTGAAACGGTTTGGAAATTAATAATTTCATTCATTTAAATTAAAATTAATTCAAGATATGATGTTAAGTTACGGTGCAGCAGAAGAAAATGCACTCGCGGCATGTCGGCTTTATTCGAAGAACAAATGGGTATTATCAACGCTTTTCGTACAATTAAAGGCATACCCGGTAACTGTCTGGGTCAAAATTCGACAAATACTCCGACCTCATTACATGGCAAATGCCTAGTATGTTATTTGAAGCTAATGCTAGACAATTTAATTAATTTTTGAAAAGTATTTTATTTTTCACTTCGACCTTTTTACCGTGAAAAGAAAAAATATAAAAGGGGAAAACAACGATGCAGTCGCTTTCACTGATGTAGTGATCTGCTGTGAATAAACACATGTGCAGGATACATTGCACTAGTATTAAGTTATTTGAAATTCTCATCAACCCGTTTTCTTCAATATTCTTTCAATTCTCTACAATAATTTAATATGAATGCATAATTTAACGACCATTTACCTTAATAATGTACTATGTTGGTAATATTCTGTTTGGTACAGCTTTCTCTGTCACATTCATAAAATTCTTTTACCATTATTTAATTTATTCTTCCCATTACTATTAAAAGTTGCTTCTAATTTTGTGGTGAAAAATGGTCATGTAACAATGTATAACCTTCTCTCTTAAATGAAACAATGTATTTTCTTTTATAAAAGAAGGAAAATTAAATTGTTTCTTGTCAATTAAGTTCAGACTTATAAGCTTACTTACAAATAGGTACATTATCATATACTACCAAATGTAGTCAATGGGGTTAGAGCAGGTGTATGGCTATAATTACAGTTATAGTCCCGTCTACCACAATTTCTTTCCTTCCTGATCAAGACAAACATGCAGGGGTATAACCTTCCCATTTCGTTGGTGCACGGTTTGACTAAGTAGTACCTATGTTATATGCTCAAATTAAGGAAAAGTCTTTTTAAAAAATTTATTGAGCAAAGCTACAATACACACACGGTGTAAGGCCTAGTCTACAGATAGAGTGAAGCATCTTTATTGCAACAAACTTTATATATGTAAAAATAAGCAAAGCTAAGCAAAATGTCTTATTAATATGATTTATCCCTTTGTTACGTATCTAACACCTCCCCCATTAAGTTGAAAAATTAAAATTTATTTCTAAAATTAATTTTTCAATAAGATTACAATTTAGAGTAACTATTTTTGAACGGCGTTATGAATTGTAGGCGACTTGAATTTTCGGGTGGTACTGGGTTTATGTTCGGCTGTTGACATCTCCATCGATGGTTGATTTGGATCATTGTCGACTTTCTTGCTCAGAGATTGCGATGCGGATTTAGAAATTTTCTGATTGCGAAGATGATTGCTCGTTGATCTCCATTTCAGTATTCTTGACCAGCAACAGCAGCGACATAAGAAGTATGTCAAAAGAAAAAGGAAAATTAGTGTTGTTGGTGTTGCATAAAACCAAGTTGAATATATAGATGTAAAACTCTTAGTGGATTCCTCCAATATTTCTTTTTGTAGGTCGGCAAGCTTTGTTTTAAGAATCGGAATATTTTCTTCCTTTAGGTAGTTGAGGTCAATGGGTTGACTTTCGAGTCTTTTTAGAATTTTGATGTCTTCATGACAGCAATTTCGGGGTATTTCCGGGATGTATACTCCAATGTCCTTTAATCTTATGTTTCGTCGGTCGTTGGTTGTAATACGAAGACCGTTGTTGAAATAGCAGGTACATTCTTCGTAAATGGTGAAAAGCGATGGTTCCTTTATCGTGACTTTCTTAATTGGGTAACTCTTGCATTTATAGGTGATGTCTAGATGTTTGGTAGATGCGATTAGCCAAGTAGTGGAATTTATTTGCTGAATGTTGTTTTCTATTGCTTTGAAGCTATAAACGGCACATTCTTGAGGGAATGTTTTGCGCATCAATAATTTTGGTAGACAACGATTAGTGTTTTTGGTATCCTGGGGTTCAGCATCTTGTAGTATGATTATATCTTCCGTGTGAATGGTGGGTGTTAATTCATTCATTTCAAGGTACCATTGGTGGTCATCAGAAATTGCCACATAGGAACTTTCGGGAATGATAGTATGGTAAAGGTCGTTCTCAAATTTAACGGGATAAGGATATGCTTTATATAATCTCAATTTAATATTCTTAACCAACGGTATTGTTAGTTTAATTAGTATTCCTTTTTTATAAATGAATAATTTAGGACTCATAATTTGGTAATATTTATAAATGTTAAAATCGTCAAAAGGAAAAGGCAGTGTGTTTTCATTTTGAGCGACATGACTCAATTGTTCTTCTAACTGGACGTGATTCAAAACGCTAGGGTGCAGAACGTTGATTCTGGCAAAGGACAATGTTTCAACTATTTCATCGACCTGTTTATTCATTTCTATTGCTAGATCGTTTAATAACGTGAGTAAATCCAAATATTGTAAAAAAATGCGATTTTCATCTAATCTAATATTATTGTTAAAAATCTGTTTCTTTATAGCCAATATATTTTCCCGGAGAGTCTCTTCGTTACTATTTATTTTTGCTAGTGAATTATTAAAATCTGATAGTATCATTTCTGTCAAGTGCGCTTGCTCACCCTGGATTTTCAAAATCTTTTTATTGGAACTTTGTAGTTCATTTATTAATTTGTCATACTTTACTGCATCGTCTGAGTCAAGGGTTCCGAAAAGGGTTTTCAATCCTGTTCCAAAAATATTGAACCAACCTCTACGGGTTCTTTTTGAGTTCGGTAGCAAAAACTTAATTTCCTTTAATTTCGTCTCTAATTTATTTATACTTATTTTCAATAATGTTGAGTGCATTGTGTTGAAATTGCTTCTGTTAATATTATCGCCTATCTCGTTTAGTTCTTTTTGATATATACCAAGAACAATGAAATTTTGGAATAGGGGGGTTAAATCTTTATAAATCAGAATATTGTATTTAGAATCAGAGGGGAGAAGGAGTCCTTTTTCTTCGAGATGGATTCCACTATCAGGTAACTTTTCTACGAGGAGTTGCTCGTGGGACCATCTAAAAATGATATAATCCTATAAGGTTTTATTTGCTCAGTGCTTACTATTGTAAAGTCTTTATTATTGTTCTTTTTATCTAATTTAACCGTATTATGGGAAATAATTTCAACTATAGTATATGGTCCAAGCCATTTACATTGACCTTGTTTATTTAGTAATTGGTTTTTTAGGAACACTTTGTCATTTATGGAATATTGAGGTATAGGGGTTTTAATTTTGCTATCGTACTTTTCTTTTACCTTTATTTTAGTATCAATTTGGTTTGAACGGGCGACCTCTCTTAAATTTTGTTGTTTTGTTTTTGATTCCATTAAATAATTAGAAACTGGGACTTCGTTTAATATATCTTCGTCTGGATTTAAGAAATTCCGGTGCTTGAAACCGTATAAAATTTCGAACGGTGTCAATTTGGTAGAATAATGTGTAGAAGTATTGTAAGCGAACGTGGCAGAATTTAAAAGTGCCTTGGGCCCTAATTTATTTTTTTCTTTCGTGGAATATACCGCAATTGTATCCTTAAGTGAACTAATTACCCTTTCTACCATACCATTTGTCTTTGGGTGATAACCTATTGAATTGGTATGTTGAAGATTTAGTTCTGAAGTGAGTTTCTGTAGTATTTTATTCACAAATTCTCCACCTTGATCAGTGTGGATGCGTTTAGGAACACCGAACGTGGCGATAAAATTTAGAAATTTGTTTTTAATTGTTTCAGCTTCCTTATTCTTTAACATGTAGGTTTTCAGATATTTTGTTAATTGGTCTTGTATGACGAGAATATGTCTTTTATTTTTAATAGAGAAATATATTTCAGCTATGTCCATGTCTACGCGTTCGAAAGGATAGGTAGGAGTTTCAGTAATTGTTAATGGGGATTCGAAGTTTCGTCTAACCGTTTTGTTCTTTTGGCATTCTAAACAAGAATTTACGTATTCTGTAACGTCTTCCTTAATTTTTGACCATGTAAAATATTGTTGAATTTTATTTATGGTTTCATTGATACCTTTGTGACCGTACGCTGGTGGGTCATGATGCATTTTAATTATTTCGTGTTTTCTTCTAGGGTCGCCTGAATATTTGTAAGTGTTTGAAATTTGAATTTCTACTTCGGGATCTAAATTAAACTTATTTCGTAAGTAATCAATCATTCGTTTTAATTCTTGACTGGTATCTTTACTGCAAATAAATCTAAATAGATCACCCTTTTGAATAAGTGTAAATATTATGAACAAATTATCGAAGAGTTCTCTTTGATTTGTCGAATTATCTACAACATAAGTTATATTTGGGAATGATAGTGACGGTTTCAATTCTAATTTGTCCTTAACAAGTGGGTCCTGAGTGTCACGTAGAATGTAATGACAATAATTTGGATTATCCATCATAATTATGACTTCGTAATTGTGCTGTT